TATGCATTCGCGTATTTACGCGTATCAAAAACGCGATTTACATATATATATATATACGAGTACATATATGTATATATATGTATATATATATATTGTTTATATATTGAAACGATTTATTCTGGTAATGAGTTTCAAATTCCGATAACTGAAATTTTATCAAATCGGAGGATAATAATTGCATCAAAATACAAATTGCACTTCCTTCTTACCACAAAAACTCCGTGGCATTTATTATTAGTTTGAAACTTTTGTTCTTTGCCGGATAATAAGGTGTTCTTTTGGAATATTCTATCCCTATCGGCTGCAGTATTTTCTCGCTTCTAAAGAAGCTTCTCTCTCCTGCTTCACGGATTCAAACTCGCTTATTTCTCTTGTCGTTACTTATATTTCCTGCCTAGGGACGTTTCTATTTTTTTTCTTTAAAACTGCTTTGCAGTGAAAGATATTTCGACGGTTAATTATAAGTCTTTTTGAGTGTGGAAGTTCTTCGTTGGAACGGTAATATTTTATAAATCGATGAAACCTCAAAGAACAGGATTAATAGAACTCATTGCGAGTACCACTTGTTGCAACATCATCCTTTTGCAAGTTTATAAATATTCAGTTAACTATTACGAATTGAGATACACGCTCTCTTTGGCTATTTTTCAATAAGGCACGAATACGAAATAAAGGGTTTGTTTCAAGTTCCAACGAGTTTATTTAATTTCCGTTAGAGTCCTAAATCCATCAGTTTCATTTACCTTCTGTATATTTCCTATTTAATTGTCTATTAATCAAATTAGTTTTCAATAAAGAAGTCTCACAATCAGTATATGCATATAGAGATAGATTAAATAAAATTATATATATATAATGAAATAAATATATATTTTTTCAAAAACAGATCTTGTATCTCTCTTGCGTTTTTTTCAAGGATATTTTCTCTGTGAAATATGCAAACAGCGATGTTTTGCATATCATTTTAAAATCTCTCTTTATATCACTGCAAAGTTACTCAATTTAGGCTTTGACACTACCTTCGTGGGCGGACACTACCCTTACAATTAAATTCGAATAGTCAGGTTACCCGTTTCAATTTCGAGAATCCGGGTCGAATCCGAGTTTTTGTCTGCTGTGATCAATTTTCATTTTCGCGCGACCTTGTAATAAAACCATATCATCGACTGTATCAGAAACTTCGTGAGCATTTCGTTTCTATTAGCAATATAATCTACGTTTTACTTTTTAAAAGTGAAAGAATTAGTGTATTATTAGTAAAAAAACAGTAATCATTTATTGATGATTACATCAATTATAAGTGTAACACTGAAGTCACTGATTTATTTTTAGAGAGTACTGTTGAACGCAGAATGTGAATGTGGATGGGTAAAAAAATCAACACTCTACGTTATATTTGATGATCAATTTGTAACAAAATGCGTGATAGCGGAAGCTTGCTACGAATCTTTATTGAAAGCGTAGTTTTATTACGAGTGGAATTTTATCAAAAAGTGGTTGTTTTGTCACGATGTAAAATTATAATGGTACAAGTTATAATGTGTTATCCGAACAAAATCGCATTTTGTCAATATTGTGAAATGTTACACAGATATAAATTCTAACAACAGCGCATTACGAATAATTACGAGAATTTTCTTGTGACTTATTGGCACATAATCGCGTAATCCGGAATATCTGGGTGTTAGCATCCCTAGCGAATGCTCGTATATTTTTTTTTATCGTGGAATCTATGCATAAAATATATATGTATGTGCCTTCATCGAATACGTGCCCGGTAGAAATAAATCAAGTATTAATTCTCACATCCACATACACGGATACGAGAACCTCGCTAAATTATGCAAGACGTAAATCCGTATTTTTTCTTAAATTTCCTTACTGCTTTCTTGTATTATGCGATTAAACTAACAGCACAATCTTGTGATTTATCCCGTACTCGTTATTAATATACATATATCACGAGTGACCTTAATTATCTGTTGTAGCAGGATGATATAACTTGATGATAAATAAATGTTACTACAATGCTTATTAATCTATCTCGGGCGAGTAACTTCAAACTTTTGAATGAGCATAATTATGTATATAAATTACAGTCATCGCATCACGAATAATAATCTAAGAATAAATCGCATATTGTTCGTTTTACAAGGTACCGGTGTTAGATTACATCTTACGTCGTGACAGTCATGGCATAATAGCTACGTTTACACCGTGCGCTTAGTCCGCGATCTATACGATAGATGTCTTTGTTTAACTTACAGGATAAACAAGGACATCTATTGTATAGGCCGCGGACTTAGCATACGGTGTAAACGTAGCCAATAAGACAACTGTAAGGCCAGAAACATATAAAAAAACGTAAAGCAATACGTAAGCAGTAAGCGAATTAGTTAATTACAGTAGAGAACTACTTTACAATAGGGAAGTAAATTTGGATTTCTCAAATTTGATTGCAGTATGATACTATAATGCACTATGCACAGGAGGGTGCATTTAGGCCCAAATTTGATTGGTTGTTTCCAGTATTTCTATCGTTTCTATATGCAAAATACTATACCTTATTATTCCATGGTGACAGTTGCAAGTTAAAAATTACATAACGCGTGTCTGTCGTGACTCGAAATAATTTTGACGTGTATGGTCACGTACGTCGTGTTTGCCCGACTCTGTCTGCGTCATGTAATAACATTATTTCTCCATCCCTAATTCAGAAGGTGCGTTCCATTCCATATTTGTCTTCTCTTTTGCGCGCGCAGGCCAAAAGCCTGACACGAAAACCAAGAGACGCGACAGAGTAAAGAACACGCTTACTTATTCTCATTATTTTTCCGCAAAGTAAAAGTCTGATGGCTTTTAGGTTGCATGTCCCGAAATAAAAATGTTACCCAAAGACTTGAAGAATCAGAATGAATTGCTACTTTGGACTTTGATGAAACGGATTATGTAATGAGTTTCATATCATTTAGCTACTTGTTTCGTGTCAAGTTCTTTTACAGCGTTGAAATCATTTAAGGATTACTTTATTAAAAAATTCGAAGGTTTAATTTGATACAAAAATCAGACACGCATACGTTGTATAAATATTATGAACTGTTTCATACATATATAATTATATACCTAATGTTAATTTTAATACAGAAAATATAAATTTCCAGTCACACAACACACAACAAACACATTTTGCAGAGATTATATACCAGGAAAGGAATATCCTTAAATCGTATTAATTAATTAATTATCTAATATTACTTTTATTCAGAAAAATATACAGTGTTTTCTATTTATTTCATTCGTAATTAATAAAGTAAGACATTTATATAATTTTTTTCTAGAATTTAAATACAATACTATAGATAATAATAATAATGAATTAAAAATGAAATAAATATTTTTCGGTACGAGTACAATATCTTTTACGTTAATTAATTTAATTAGAAAATATAATATACAATAACGTAGATCAACAACTTTAAAAACTGCTCTTGTTAAAACTGACCATAAATCATCTAAAATTTTGCAGACCAGATTTCAGAATAAAATTCTGCTTCTCATTTCACATGATGATATATTTTAATGTATGATATTTCAATATATATTTTATACATTATCATACGTTCAAGAATTATTTGCTACTATAACGCATGTCAATCAATCCCAAATCAAAATATGTAAATCTGATCTCTTTTCAAGTTCTTCTTTTGAATCTGACAGCACGTCGTCACGGAGATTGGTTTTCAAGAGTCAAAATTTTAGTACTGAGTTTTTATTTCAGCTGACTCAATTCCACGCAATTAATATTACTTGGCACGAATACAATATGCATGTATTTTGTTTCTTTAATTTTTTTTCATATTACACAAAATTGGATAGAATATAATCCAAAGTGAGTCTAAATTAATATTATCGGAACATAAGTAGGCATTCACAGTCGGTTCTTATTTCAAGATCGTCTTAAATAATATCTTAAGATGCTAATATGGCTCTGTAATTGGTTTATGGATATCTAAAGACTGTAATTAAAATACGGTCTTAAGTATAAGAATCGATTATGAATACCGGTTATAATTTCTTATCTTTATGATAAATCGCGAACACTAACTCTCTTAGAGGTATTCCGTAAAAGAAATATACAAAACGACGGTATATTATTATCATATTAAGGGGGAGAGAGCTTATTTCTGTCGTATATTTTTCAAACTTTGAGGATCAAGATAACATTGCTAAATCGTTCTCATACATTACATTGTTTTCCAGATAAAAAAACAATTCTCAGGTTGAATTTATGCAATTTAAGAAAATTGGTGATATTTTACGATTCTTTGCGAACCTAAAATAAAAGTAAATGTCAAATGCACGAAATTACAGTATAGTGTATAAAACGGATACGATTATGCGTGTAATGTAACAAGATTAAACAAGGTATCTCTCATTTTCTAATTTGGAACCTGTTTCGCAGCCAAACTCCTAAAGAGCACGTGTATTTTATAATTAGTGAAGTCATGATGTTCGAGATTTCTAATGATTATCGTTGCATCGAAGTTAAATTGGACCGTACCAGGAACTGCAACGAACCTCTCAAGCGAGGAGCAATATCTGGCGCTTTAAAGGAGAAGCGAGATTATCTACATCAATTTTCTTATATGAGGACATAAATGCACGTGGAGCTTTCGAAGCTTTTCCGTGCATAAAAATGAGAGTTTATATATAATATGAGAATGGCGAAGAATAAAGACAAACAAGATAGCACATGTCCATCAAAATCACGGAAGACAATCTATTAAGGACGCCAATATTTTTTCTCTGGGAAGAATAAAGGGATGTGTATTATTATACGGAAATATGTTTAATAAAACATAGTAAAAAAACCGAAAATAGGAGATACCGATCTTTTTATTCCAATTCATATCGCGTTGGATACAAATTTCACAAGATGCGAATCACAGTTAGTAAACGCACTAAATACGATGAACGCTTGAACCATGTTGCTGTGAGATACTCTGCGGCCGGGATGCTCTAAGTGAGACTCGATGTAACATCAAAATGCAGAGGGAAGAACTCCATGACGAGCAGTCGCGCGTGACTCGTTCGTCTTCTCGCATAACTGATAGCAATGTGGAAAATGCTTTGCAATGTGCAATAATTAGACTGACAGCCCCGTCGAGATAAAGGTGTAACGTGCACCAGGAGGACGCGATGGCGTCGAGGACAAGAAAGCAGTGGTGCGCGAATGGTGGTATTTTAGTGCGACTGACGCTGACCCTTTCGGGTTTGTGTGCGGGTCAATGCACGAATATTGGCCTGATGACGACAACAACGACGAGGGCATCGACGACGGAGACGGGAACAACAATGACGATGACGGCTGGTAGCTCCAGGGAATGCATTGGGGGTGTACGGACGATGCAGTCTAAGGGTGAAGTAAAGCTAGCGGTGATCGCGCCGGGTGATCCTCACCACGAGCAGAGTCTGCAGAGAGTGTTACCTGCGGTATTACTAGCTGTGAAATACGTCAGCTCACCTAGGGGACCTTTACCCGGATGGAACATCAAGGTGGACTATCGCGACTCATACTGCTCCAGCACTTACGGACCCTTGGCCGCGTTCCAGTTTTACATCAACCAGACAGCAGGTCGCACGATACGTTTATATCTTCCGCATTTTTTTTTCTACTACTCTATTTCTTTTGTCTTTGCTCTTATCTTTTTATTTCCCTTAATCTTACTTTTATAATCTCCGACGTAATCGAGAGATACAGCATTCCAACAGGCTACGCGAATTTCATATTAAAGAACTCCAGAAATTCTTTTGTAAAAATGAATATTTCCCCAGCTATTTCGGCAATTATTTAAAAGGTCTCACAGATACGCGGTACCCGCATAATTTATCTAACGCGACGATTTTAAAAAATTCATGGCAATTCATGCATTGAAATATTTGAAAAGATAAATATAACAAATAATATTTTAAACACGCTGGGATTCTCGATTACGTTCAGCAGATATTGAATATCAAATTTATTAAGCTTTAATTATCGAAGTTCGCTATAACTTCGTTTACTATCTCTGATACATTACTGAATGTAAAGATTTTTTAAATATTGTGATACAATATTTTTTTAAATATTTGTGATACAATATAATATAATACCATCTGTTTTTATAATTATATGCTTTTATTTCTCTTAATTTCTTCATTGTAAGTTTTCACAGTAGATATTTTTAATGAATTATATATATTTAAGAAATTAAGTCATTGTAAAAGTTAAAAAATCTAGTCCTTCTTGCATTTTCTGAAAGACATACATATATAAATAGAGATATGTTTTCCCATATACTCTCATATATATTTAACATTGCAACTAGAAAGTAGATTAATCAATCATTTTATTAACTTGATATTTTTTGTTTTTTACAATATCAGAAAATTTTTTTATTTATTAGAACCGCTATTTGAAAAATGTACTTATTTAATTCCTTAAGGGGATCCTAAAGCGAAGCTCGAACTCCGACGAAATCACCGGAGGTCGCTGTTTTTCCAGCGCATCGACATGTCTTTATATACTACCACACCAATATCTCATGTACACATACGTATAAATTTTCTAACTAACTAATCTTTCGTATTAAGTATCTAAACCTAATTCTAGGTACTCAACATTGGTTGTTCATATAATTCCTAGTCCAAACCGAGCTAATTTTATAGGTACAAAGTACAAAACTTCCATATAAAGCAAATATTGTTACGAGTCGATGCCAGAAACCGATAACAAACTGTAATTTTCCAACTTTTTTTCATTTTTCGCAAGTCAATCAGTTTGGACTACATTATCGCTTATATTTTAATTGTGGAGAAGGATTTTTAATTTTGTAAAGGCAGTTAGAAAAATACTTATTTGAAAAATAATCGATAAAACAGCACGACTTTAGGATCCCCTTAAGAACTAGAGTAAAAATTTGAAAATAAATTGACGTTTAAAAATTTATGAAAAGCCTGGCGTTGGAAAAGAAGTATAGCACACCATAGCACACCATAGTCACGATAAAGAAGTATAGCACACCATTGCACGATAAATCACGTGCAAAGTCGGGAGGCCCATACATCAAGAAAAGTGATTTGTAAAGTTGTTTGCACTTGCTGTATGTATAGCTCTTTGCGAAACATAGTAAAAATAACCATTAAATATGTCCAGATGGTTACTGTAAGCCGTAATAATATATACTATTTCATGTTTTATCGCAAGCGTTGAACTTCCGAACAATTGTACCATAAAAAGTGTATTTATGTCGCTGTATCACGATTCAAGTTTTCAATGAAACTACTTCTTGACAGCCAGATATTTGTTTTAAGTACTTAGATGCATTCGATACTCGATTAAGGTGGTAGAAATTGCAATAGAAGCAAAAAGAAAGAGAGAGAGAGAGAGAGAGAGAGAGAGGGGCCGTGGAAAGCACCCTCGAGCAACACAGTTTAATTTTCAATATCGAATAAAATTTCAAACGTCGATAAACCGCTTGCCTAGACTTCCATTTCTATTTGCGCGCTTTGAAGGTTACTTTTTCCTTTTTCCGACTCCAAAAAGCGGATTAGATCGACCGTATGACAATATACGTATAATTAATCTACCTGTTGGTCGCCAACGCGATTCAAGAATATTCATTGTGCCAAAAGCATTCCCGGATTTATGTAACAAACGGATTTCATCCTTATCGTACTTAAGCCGATTTCGCAAAACGGAAACGAATGAAGGGGAGATTTGGGATAAACGTAACGTAATACATATGTGCATACAAAGGTAATTTCCGTGTTATTTATGACGAATATACGTATAAAAGGACAGCATTTTAATGTAAAAATGCATGGAAACTACAGTTTTACTGAAGCATCTAAAAATTGTGCCAGATCTGAAAATAATTTTATTGGATTATCAAAATAATTAAGTAAGATGCTCAAATTAGTTGCTATAGAATGTTGCAAAACTTTTTGCAATATTTGTTCATCGTGTTTCTCATATTATTTTGATAGCTCAACAAAATTATTTTCAGATCTGTATGTATCTAAATTTTTAGAAGCTTCAGTAAAATCGTTCTTTCCACGCGCGTGAAGAAGTGAATTATATTATTTCATCCCTCGTTTTATCCTCTTAAAGTACGGAATCTGAATAAAAAATATAGTATAAAAGCTTTGAAATTTTTATTAATACATTGATATATCCTATGTATCTGTAGACTCCGTAAAGTTCTTGAATATTTCAGAATATTCTGTTGCGCGCGCGTGTAAATATTTATGTGTCAACGATATACGAGTAAGTACAAGAAAGATGATAAGAAATCTCTGGTGATAGAGAAATATAGCATTGAAGTTATAAACATATGTTTTGAAAATACGTGAAAAAAGTTTTTGTATATTTTTGTCCTACAAATCAAACAGTCTCGATGTTTTTGCGAGAAGACGTGTCCAATCGACATCGCGTGACGCATTTGCTATGAATTAATTATAAACTCGACAGATGATCGAATGCATTAAACGACGCGCTAATTAGACGTAGGAGTGATCGTGTTGTGGAAAAGGTACATCGACCTCGCGGTGCATCGTCGCCGCGGATTCCAAGGATCGTGTCTTAGAGCTCGCGTCATTGTACCAATTAATCAAAGACGATATTCTTCTAAAGGCCCGATGCCGTATGTTCTAATTGGGCCTCGTAGTTAGAGCCGTGCCACCACCGCAGCAAACGCCTCAGTAGAAACGCGCCTATTTTTATGAAGGAATGACATCAGCTCGTGTCAATTTGCAGCTGCAAACTGTCGAACAAACTGCCGGCTGCAACGACACGACGATGATGACGAGGATGATGACGACGAACCGCCTCTCGCCGGTCAGTCAACCAAAGCCGCGTCTTTTTTCGTCAGCCCTCCACGTCCAGACTCCGTTAAATACTGTTTTAATTCGGCTTAATTAATCCCGTTGTGCCGGTGGCTCGCTCTTCTCTTCGAATTAATTGACCTCACGCCCTCCCTCGTAAGCGAATCATTTACTTTCTCAGGAGTGCGTGTGGATCGCCGATAAAAAATGTCTCATCTTTGTTTGCGAGATGAATTTGTGCGTTAATGGAAATTGCGTCGATCTTTCTTTCGGAAGAGCGATGCGAGCGAGAATGAGATAATTCGTTGGTGCTTGTCCAAAGGAAAGCAACTATAGTTAGAAGAATGGCCTTCAAAACGATGCTTTCAGTAGGAGAGCTTTATAATTACCTGTCTACAACAAGAATTCATTATGAATGTTGATAGAGAGAGTGTATTTTCTGCCGTTTCTATTCGATATTCAATTGATAGTCCATTACAGTTTTAATTCCACTAGCAGAGGCTTATAGAAGCCTAATACGATTCCATTTCATTCTCGTGTCGCGTCTCGATACGAAATTAATGGAAATACTTATAATTGACCTTCCTCGTTCGATCTGCGAAATTGGAATTCATTTTGAATTTTGTATGGTATTAGCGTAACTTACAACTCTTTTCACAATTTCAATTACGAATCTTATCGAAGGATAGATTCAAGCGGATTAACTCTCAGTCCACCGATGGAAGTTAAACTGGTGTATAAATCTGTTCTCATCAATCCCCGCTAAATCAATTCCGGTGTGAGTTTTTTCACGTTCGCTAAAAATTTGAAACGCTGCGAAAAACAGAAAAGAGCATTTTCTTCTTTTGCTGAAGTTGGGTAAACCGAGAAATGGACTATTAAACATACAAAGCACTTCGGGCGCGTTTACTCTTCTATAATTTTAATTGAACGTTTAATTATCGAGATCATTAAGTCTGAATATAAAATAATCATGGCGAATAATAGCTTTCCTGGAAGTTTCCCCTATCCAAAACTTTCATTAACTTGACTCCAATTTGTCAACTTGAAAACTTCTGCCATTAGGATTAAAAGTGAAGCATCTTTATGACATTTCGTGTAGTAACAAATAGGATACTTCAAGACCTGATGTGTGAATAAATACTGCCATTTAAACTTTGGATTTACTTTGATCTGCACATAAATTATGTATTACATGGAAAGAACGGTTTAACTGAAGTATCTACAAAATTAATTAAATACAGATCTGAAAATAATTTTATTTGAACCATCAAAATAATTACATAGAACGCTCAAATTGATTATTAGAATGTTAAAACTCTTTGAGCATTATTATCAATGTTTAAGCACTCTACATAATTACTTTGATAATCCAACAAAATTTTCTGTAGCTAACTAAATTTTTAGATGCTTCAGAAAAACTTTTCTTTCCGTGTACATACGTAACTTTCTCTTAAGACTTGTGTTACTTTCTTGAACACGTTTTCCACGTTTAAATAAAATACTTACGCTACTAACAAATTACGCTATTAACAAACAATACTAAATGAAACGCAATCGATTTTACGCTCCAGATCTCCTCGAAACGACGGAGATTGATTACGGCAATCCCTCTGTGTGTGTTGTAAGTTGTTTTAATGAAGAAAAAAAGGTTGATTTTATTAGGCGTTAATTTGCTTCTTAATTGCGGTACGAAAAATTTAATCTTTTAGACCTTTTACCTTTCTTGAATAGTTATTTATTTCATCGCTTGGTTGTGAATTGTAAAAA